CGAACCCCGCCCGCCGTGGCCTTTTATAGGGCGGCAGCGCGGGCGCTGATTGGCTGCTGGGGCCGGGCCCTCCCGCAGAGCCTTCTGGGAGTTGTAGTTGGCGCTGCCCACCCCCCCAGGCCGCCATGCCACCCCACTTCCCAAAGGATAAACGATAAATGCAGCAGGGAAGGCAGGGGAAACCCCGGCCCCAAGCAGCAAGACCACCATTTGCAACCCCCCTCCTTGCACCGGCAGCTGAGCCGCGCTCCCCCACCGCACCTAAACAAACCCCCGGTCTCTGTGGCACAAAGACAACTTCTCCCTCCTCCTCCCCATCAGTGGCTGCTCTTCAAAAAGGTGAAGGCAGCAGACACGTTTTTCCTACTCCTTCCTCCCTTTTGGAAGGCAGGGGGGACACCCCACCCCCGGGGAATGGAAGGAAAGTTTCTTGGAAACAAAAGTCTATCACCAAAACAGTACCTCTGTCAGGTTCCTGGCTCGTGATCCATAATCAGTGGAAAGGATTTAAAATGAGAGCACCCTCGCTGGAAGGGACTGCTGAAATTTCTGCAGGTACTGATGCTGAAGCCACAGCCACCACGAGAAATCAGGTTGAAAAGCCTGCTTCCTGCCCCTGAGCCCTGGAGAAAGTGCAAAAAAGGATGAGGGAGAGCAATAGTTAGTTTTTAATCTGTTCTGAGCAAAATTCACAGATGAAAAAATTCACAGGGCTCAGGAATTGCCCTTTCAAGCTGGTAGCCCCACCACAAACATGCCAGATTACCAACAAAATAAGCCTGGCACCCATTTAAAGCAGCAGTCGGTCTGGAAATGAGCCCCAAACGTTGCGTGACCAAGCTCTTCCAAAAACAGCCCGTGTCAAAGCCGGCAGGGACAGGTTACAGGCAGCTGGTCCCATACTCCACCTCCTCCGTGCATCCTGCAGCTGCTCTGACGAGTCACAAGGCATTCCCCGGGCAGCCCGGATTCTCCTTGGCACAGCTACTCATGCAAAGTGAACTTAGAAATCTCCCTGTCAAATCCTAGCGCAGGACAGAACTTTGCTCATTGTAGCAAAAATAACCCACCCCAAAAATTCAGATAACCTTGGAAAACATCAAGTGTTTGGGAAGAGAATCTTCCAAATGCTAAACATGGAGAATCCCCAAAGAGCAATACCAAAAACCAACGGATGCTCCGTAGACCTCAGCCCATCACGAGAAGATGGATGGAGAGAAGATGGAGCAGAGAAAATCCCGCTGTGTGTCTGCGGTGCTCGACCACAAGGCCAGCGAAGCCCTGACGAAACCTCCCAGCGTGGCTGGGAGCCTCACATCAGCCTTTTCCGTAGCGCGGGATGGGGAGCAAACGCTGGGAGAGGCTGCAATTCCCAGCGCTGGACAGGTGGGAGCAGACAACTCGCATGGAAGCACTCTGAAAAAATAGCAGTAAGGAAAAGCAAGTACGGATTAGTGATCCAGGTGGGCTGCTGTGCCTGCAGCTCCTCGGGGGTCCTGTGTGCGGAGGGGAGAAGATGAACCCTGTCCACATGCAGCTCAATCTGCATCGCCTTAACTGCGTTATCTACCACCGCTCCGACCCTGGGAATTTTACAACAGAAGCAGCGTATCGTCTGAGAAAAACGGAGTGTGTACCACCCGGTGCCCCCAAACCCCTTCTTACAAAACTGACCGCACTCGGTAAAACCATTTTGACTGGGAATAACTGCTAAGGAAGAAAAGCATAGTAACTTGAATAAAAAAGGAGGTATTTTCTGAAGAAATGCTCTAACCAGGCAAAAAGGTAAAGCAAGCTTTGTCAGAGCGACATTTTCTGACCTAGCTCTATCAGTTTCTAAATGTAGCTATTGCATTTAAAATTCATACCCTATCCTGACATTGAATTAATTTCATGTCTAAGCAAATCCCAAGTTAAATCCAGAAGCTGGTGTATCCAGTGTGCTTTACAAGATGCACTGGGAGATAGCAAGGCTGGAAGGTAAAAATTCCTCTCGGATCTTGTTTAGCAGAAGCTGAGGATTAGCAAGCCAGTAATGAGAAACTGAGTACGCAAAGATCAGAGTCAAACATCTCTGTTCCTCAAAAGGGATTCAGAGAAATACCTGCGGGTGTTCGGTACTTTTTGGTGTGCAGGATATGAACCTGTCTCCTGAAAACGGTCCAGGCAACAGGAATTTTCTCTAGTCAGACACACACAGAAAACATCACCGCTGGCCCCCGTCAGACCCCTCGACCCGTACACGGTGCTGCGCTGGTACAGCCCCACATTTGCTAAAGAAATGGTTTCAGACTCCTCATCCCATTGGAAGCGGGTCAGAATTTCTCACAGGCCACCCCCCATGCTTACTGTCAAGCTTTTCATTAAACACGTTAATGGCAACAGGGCACCCCGCAGCCTTGCAGCTTACGCTTTGGAAATCGCCACTTCATGCCCAACAGCAGCAACGCCCACGTCCTTCCAGCTCTGCAGTTCGCTAAATATTTTTCAGTCTGCGTAACGCAAAGGGTAATCCGAGAGTCCCTGCGATTTAGAGTAATCTACAGTGGGTCATCACATCTTCATCAAGTAACACAGTAAGAATGCTTGAGGCGTTTTTGTAATTACTAGTAAACGCTGCATGCTGAAAAGCAGAATACTTCATAATCTCAGTCGCAAATTTTGATGCAATTTTCAAGAATTACATCATCCCAGTGAGCTGCGATATCATCTGCCTTGGATTTCTTGCCTTTAGCACATAAAGATAAAAGCAGAATTTACCTTACTACACGGAGTCCTTGTCTTTCATCTTGTGTTACACTAAACGGTAATTAATCAGGGCTTTTCCTGTAGCCATCCATGACAAACAAAATCCCACACTCTGTTTAACTTGGATTCCAAAACACAAACCCTACAAAATCCAGGTGACCTGCTGTTTTGTAGCTCCACATAAAAGTCTCCTCTGCGCTTCAGATGCTGCAATAATGGCCGGGAGCTGAAAATGAACATTAAAATGAATAAGTGATACACAGCAAAAAGTGCAGGGAGATTAAGAGCTCAACAGAACATTGGCTGAGACTCTCACAAACAACCCCAAAAGGCTGGCTCACACATCAAGGCAACGTGGCCCAAAGCCTCACGTCAACCTCTCTCCTACAAGGAAATCATGAGCTATTTTAAGCTCTGATCACCAGTAAACAGGCTTCAGCGGGTAATTTTTGCTGGCCCCAAATCATTCTCCGCATAAGGGCCCAAGGGTCTGTATATACACAGCTCTCCTAGAAACGAGGGATGCCACTTACGATGGCTCAGACTCATCGCTACCAACTTTCTTCCCACCGAGGCAGGTCCAAAAGAGGAGAATGAAGGGCATACAGGGTAGCACTGTTGCAGCACAGTAACAGAACGATCTAGCAAGCGTTTAACGGCAGAACATAAAGAAAACCTTCTTTACGTCACCTCTGAAATGCCACTCTATTGAACAGGCACTTTTCAAGAAGAGGGGCATCATCTGAGTGTTCAGCACCGCTGACCAGCTACACCAGAAGAAAAAAAGCACTCTGCTCTCTTCTACGGCTCCGCTGCCTCTGAAACACTACCAGCACACACAGGGAACATTTGTTTCTTTAAATTCAGAGTAACTGAAGGTTAGGACACTGTTAACAGCCCACAGCACAATCAGATGCACAGGAGGAGGAAAAAATTCACAGCAGATGAGAACGCAGGGGTCCAGCAGTCCTCTAGTTCCGCTTGTTCAGAAATACGCTAACTCCAGCGTATGTCACCATTCCCCTCACATTCACAGTGCGTTTACCATTGCAGTTGATAAAAAGACCACAGACTGACAAATATATCATAATTATGGACACAAACAAAGGTGTAGAAGAAGTAGGCTTTATGAAAGTATTTAAATTTTGTGGCAAATCTCTCCATCAACATGGGCAGGGAGGCAACTAAATGCGTTGCAGTAGCAATTTCAGTTACCAAACTATTTCTTGGATAGACATTTATTACAGGTAGTTTATCTGTTCCTATTTCTCAAAGAGTTTAAGGCACAAAAGCCTGAAAAGGGCTTATAACGTACATAAGTGCTATTCTTTTCGCTTTCACCTCTAATGCAACATAATATTAGCTTAAATATATTGCTTGTCCATCCAGCTTATACAACATCCAGTAGAAAACTGCTCTCCAGGTTAGCAACAATTTGTTGCACAATATATCGATTAGATTGCTCTGACCCGTTTTTGCTGCAAGATCTTCAGTTTCACCATATTCACTCTGACAGGACAGTGGAAGACGCTACGAAATCTTAACATCTTAATGAGACCATCAAGGTGTGTCCACAATGAAAAAAGGCATGATACACAACAGAACATTTAAACAAGGTTGCCGGTAAAAGTGTTTTAAACTGCTTGATTGATGGGGAATTATTTCCTCACGCACAGGTGGAGAGGCAAGCCAAACGTGCGAGAGACCACCAGGTAGAAGGCATCGGTCTGTAGTAGTTTTGTAACACTCCCTTCCGTCTTTACTCTCCAAAATGCTCTTCAGGTAGATTGCTTAAGAACAACGAGCTATAAACTTGCTAGCTCAAGATCACAGCTTAGGTTAAGCAGAACATAAGCTTTCATCTACATGGTTCTTTCCTGTGCTCAAGTTGCAGCAACCTTACGCAGTCACTAGAAAGCTTTTGAGACATTTTAGTGGTATCCGACAATGATTTTTTAAAAGAACACGTTTACGAGAGCTGGATCAAATGACTGAAGACAGTTAAATGGGCAGCAAAACAGAAAGATGGGCAGGAACCAAAATGCAAAGGGTGATTTTACTTAAAAGACCAACTTTTTTATTGTACGTTGGAGTAGAGTCTTTCCCCTGTGCCATCTCGTTGAAAGTTTATAAATTACAATTCCCAAGAAGTATTAAGAGTTCATTTCAAGACAAAAGGAATAAAACCGTTGCAGTTCTAACTTTCACCATGAATAAAAGTTACCATGATGCTCCTACGGTACTCATTCTGTACAGGGAAGGCCACAGTCCTCCTGTACTTCGAGTAACAGACCTGGGTGGAGAAAGGGCCACCCCTCACTACTGCAGGATCCAGGTGCAGCGTAACAGTCCGGAGCGCACTGGCGGGCTTGTCACACAGACACAGTGCCTCAGCAACGAGGCTATAACACGGCTGGAATCTCTGACGAGACAGTGTCCAAAGGCTGCCAATGACAGTCCATCAAGGCATCATAGAGCTCTTCACTCTGTTCCATAAACTGTTTATTTGCTTCCTGGACGTCCAACTGAGGCGTCGGATCTAAAGGAGGAAAGACAGACAGACAAACAGGTCACACACCAAATGTGTTAGGAAAAACCCACACCCCGTGAACATGTTAGTTTTATTAAAACAAATGTGGGGGGAGTCACAAGACATTCCCAGTGCTTGCCCAATCGTGAACCTGACTAGATTAGCCCTAGGAGATCTTCCTGCAATAAGAAATAACTACATCCAAATATGTCCCTCTTTCCAGTGGTGATTGCCCCCATAGCAGAGTCAACAGAGAGAACGCATACCTGCACCTCGCAGCCCAGTGTAGCCACTTAAACTGCCAAAGAAGGTGGGCTGGCACTGAGGCACCGGACTGCAAAGTGGAGGAGCGGAGGCGCAGGCACATGTTCCGTTCTGCTCCCTCCGCTACAGGGTCAGAGTGGATGGCTGGGGACGGTAGCGTCTTACGCTGCTGCAACAAGAGTCACCAGAGCTCGTCTGCCAAAGCCTCGAACACCTCAAAGCATTTCACAGTTAGTAACCAAAGAAGTGCCAGCGACACCCAGTGAATTACGTATGAATATGTCCCCTATTTTACAGTTGGAAGAAACGTTTGTAAAGCATTTTGGAGCTGGATAGCAACCCAGCGGGTACAATTCTGCTGCTACCAACGCACACTTAACATTTCACAAAAATTGCCTCATCGTATTCCCCAAACCACTTGACGGATGTAAAGCTCACCTAACACCACCCACAACCTACAGCTGAGGTCATCAGCCTGGCACAATCACATAGGTTAGTAAGTGACTATGAGAGTGCAAAGCAACTAGCCAACTGAATGGAAAAACTATAAAACACATCAGGAATAAAACGCTTGTAAATATGTTCAGTTTTAGCTATACTGTGTTGTAACACATCACAGGAGAACAGAATTAAGAAAAAGGAATGATACACTGGCAATACATTATTTCAGTTTCCTACAAATTTCAACATATTAATTTAATCAATGAGAAAAAGACACCCCAGAGATATTCTAACTATAGTACTGGTGTGTTAGTTTCAGAGAAGGGAAAGCTCTCCTGTAACGCTTTTATAAAGCCATTAAGGGTTTTCTCATTGACATCATTACTGATAGCCTATGGACCCTGTGAAGGATCCAGCTGCTTTCTACTGTTACCATGCGATTTTATTTTTTTTTTAAAGAGAAGAATAAGATACACTACATAGTGCATATTCTGCTCAAGACAGAAATTTGGAACTACTAGTATAAAATGATTTTTTCTTGCATCAATAAATGAAAACTGTTTGTACGTACCTCTAAAAGCCTGGCATGGTTTAGTGGCCCATTTCAAGCAATGACTGCTAAAGCAAATATTTCATCACAGTGCTAACTGATATTATTTCTTTTTTAAACTAAAAGCACAGTGAAGTATCCTGGGCTCTAAATTTGAAGATTTTACAGAAAATCAGAATATCTACATTGTTTTTGTAGCATACCAGAAAAAAAAAATTAAAAAAGGATAAAAGTTTGAGTACTATAGAAGATTAAAACCTCAATGCTAGCGAAGTCAATTAGTTTCAGTCCTGACAAGGTCCAGACTAGGAACAGCAACTGTAAAATAAGGATGCAATTGCGCTAGGTGATAATGACCCACAAATTTTCTCAGACCTCAGATTTACTCAAAGATAAAGGTATATTATACATTGAAATTAAGGGTCAATTTGAGAAAGACTATCTCTAATCAGTGCAGAACAAACAGACAACTTCAATATTGAATTCAAGGAACGTACCTTCCAATGCATCCTCACCAACTTCTTCATATGTCTGCAAGGAAAACAAAAAAACACCTTAGGACAGCAGATATTTATTTTTTCTTTTATGAACATCATCTGTTGATTACTGCTGTCATATACTGACTTTTATATCTGATGGATTACAACAGAATTCTTCACACATAAGCCCTGTGCTCCACTCCCAACAGACTCCATGGGGCAGATCCCACACTAAACTTCTAACAGAGGCAGCAGTTCTTCAAATTCCTGTGGTGCAGCGGGTGGCTGCTCTGATCTGTTTTATCCTCTAAAACAAGGCTTATGAAGGATCCCAGAAGGCAGTCTTAGCACTGTCTGTCCAACTGCCCGTATCAAGAGAACCCTTCTACCATGGTAACTGCATTAAGAGACTCCCTTATGCTCCCCCCGCCTTTTTACCCCTCCAGTCCCAGCAACATCCCCCATACAAGGCAACAGTACACACCAGGGTCCGCTAAACAGTTCTGCTTCCTCATCACGTAGCTATAAGGCCCCAGAGCTGAATATAAAATGAGCCCATCACCGTTTTGTAACCTATGTCGTGTTTCTGTGCTGACAGATCCCTGAAGAGCGAGTACGTCGCGCTGTCCTACCTGCATTGTGCTCTGCGTGTATCCATACTGGGGATAGCTGTAGCTGTAACTGCCTGTGTTCTGGTCGTAGCCCCACTGGGCATAGTAGTTGTGATATTGTTGGTAATATTGGTTATAATTATAGTTGTACATCTGATTGTACTCCATTGGTTTCACACGATTACTTAAAAAGATAAAGCAGGAATAAGTTGCAAATAACGCAGAACAACTATGAAAAAAAGCAGTGAAATAGCTTAAGATACAATATGGTACATAAACAAGGTTTAGTCTAACATGCAAATTTCAGTCTTTAAAATATATTCACTATTTACTGCCGCAGCATTTATCATTTGCATACATTTGCAGAAAGAAAGAAGTGGTTTAAATTTCATCTTCATTAATAAACATTGCTTTCATTCTTTATGAGTAATTCAGTATCACTTCCTGGCTTTGGGAAGGGAAGAGTTCAGGACTATGAGCCTCGGTTTAGAACAATCCTGAACCATGATCCAGACTCTTGGGTCCCTTTTTCCTTCTGATAAATAGGACGAAGCTAAGTACTCTGCAGCTTCCTGAGACAAGGTACTGAGTCTTGCTTTACATGAAGAGTTAAAGACTTAGAGCCTTGCAAAAGAACTGGGGTTTCCTTTAGTAAGAATGGACAAAAACCTCTCCCTTCTGCCACTATCGTACAGAAGCCTAACCAACGACTGGTCATCCCCGTTCCCCCTGAACTGGGTGGTCTTCAATGCACATAGTTGGAAGAGCTCATGAAGTAAAAAGGACTACAGGTAATTAAAAAAAAACAACTTAAAAAGCCTGTGAGCTGACTAAAATTCCCATTCCCTGCCATAAAGTGGCAGCATTCCCACGGAACTGGGAACCTCACCTGATTATTAAGATTTGAAATAATGAGATGACAAATATTGTTTGGAAATGAAAATACGTCACACACAAAGCTATGTCTAATGATGAAATTAGTGAGAAGTAGGAAGAGGGAAACATCAATCTTCTCACCACGATACACCCCCTTTTTCTGCTTTTCTCTTCCTTATCCCCCCAAGACTTCTGAGGTCACTGAAAATCTAAATATTATTCAAATAGGGAGCAATTACTATTATTTGTATTACCCTAGTGCTACGAGCCCCAAGTCAGACCAGGATCTCATTGTATCAGGTTCTGAACAAACACAGAAAAAAAAGTTAATCCCTGCCCCAAAAGATTTATATTTAGTAGACATCATAATAGAATTAGCAAGGTAATTGAGCTTTGCTATCCAGAAATCAATAAGCAGATTTAGACTATTTCAATTTAACGTAAAGGAACATATACTTTAAAAATAATCACATTTAAATACAGTGTGTGTACATGTGTGTGTATTTAATAATGTATACAAATAAAAACAGTGTAAAATGCTTAGTCTCGATCTAATGTTATATTTTTTTTTTAATTCCTGTGCATTCTGATACTCTAGCTACTTTACTATATTGGTGGGTATTCCTTCACTTTGTGATGCAAACATCCAGAAAATGTACCCAAACCACCAAAAGACATTTAAAAATACATGTGATTTCACATCACCGTGCTCTTATATAAATGTCTGGCTGCTCTTATACTCACGCTTTTGGTATAGCCACACTCAAGCGTACAGGTTTAGAGCCCAACCCCACAGCTCCTTGACACTCTGTCAGCGCTCTTTTCTGTTCCAGTTCATCCGTGAATTTCACGAACCCGTAACCTCTGTAGAGATACAGAGTAACTCATATAAAACAAAAAAGCCATGCCACTTTTTTTTGTAATATTTACAGTGAAGTCAAAATCAGTTTTGAAAAACACAGCAAATGAAACACTTTTGCTAGGCCTGTCCCTGCTTTTAGCAGAGATTAAGTGATTCCATCTTCCAGTTGCTTTGTATTATTTGCAAAATGCTTGGAACCGTACGTCCAAGCTTTGGCAGTACTTGCAAGAGCTTCGCAAAAGTAAAGTAATCCTTGTGCCAGTGGATTCTGGGGAATTGGAAGTGAGCTGGCACAAGACATGTCGAAATGCATGAACAGACAGTAGTAAAGCCTCAAATCTATACTGGGAGGATACAGATAACCTAAACAGTTGCAAGTCAGCACAGGATTGGCAAGACACAGGCACCGTTTATATCTAAAACTGCCCCACTCTGAAGGAAAACTTTGCTTTTCTGTACGATCGACTGAGATACACTTTCCAATCGAGTCCTGTTTTCAACAGGAAAATATTGAAATAGGCTTTCTGTCATTCCTAACAATGGCACGGCCCCATCGGCATTCTCAGCAGTGGACCTGAAAACGAGCTCTTAACGTCAAGTTGCTAAAACCTGCTCCGACAGCGCAACTTGAACAGGGATAGCATGCAGCCAGCAACCCCTCAGCTCCGTGGCAATCCTTCACTGCGGTGCTAGCAGTACTGCACATCAGCCAGACAGAAAATATCAAGTCCCCCTCCAACCCCAGAGGTCCTCTGCGTGGGATTCCAATGCTGTAGTGACTCAGAAGCAATGCAACAGCATCGAAGAGGGCAGTGCCAGGATCCTGAGATGGGATGGGCTGCCTCACGCAGCAGAAAGATCAAAGACTTAGGTGTGGGAGGGAAAGGAAGGAGTTCGGGAGGGAAAGGGCTTGTCTACCTGGGGAAAAGAACGAGCCGTAAGCAAGGGTGTAAATTATCTATTCTGTGGGAACTCTTAAACACCAGGTAACACACTGTTTTGAAAGCGGCATCACCTAGTACTGGTAGTAGGTCCACACTGGAAGCTATTGCAGAGCAGCTGGTGCCCCATAAAATGCAGTGTCTTGCATAGCAACCTATACACACAAGTCCAAATACATATTTTTATACATATATGCATGCATGCACATGTACTCTTCACATACAGAAGAGCAAGTCAAAGCTCAGGCTTACCTATATACAAACTGGATAATTAAGCAAGAGCAAAACTCTACATGGGTACACATTCTGCTTAACTTGCCTTCTGTGAAAGGACTGTGGCAAATTGAACCAGTGCAAGTCAACTTTTAAGTCAGTTTAAAGTGTTGGCACACAAAAGTGTGTAAGTTTCTGAGCTGCTACAGAGTCCTGCAGCCTTTCGGATGGGACCAGGAGTGTGTAAGTGAAACCAGGAATATTGGCAGTTCCAAAATAGAGATGGACAGATAAAGAGTTGGATGTAGTGTATAGGAATAGACGTTAGGTGCAGCAAGGGAGACAGTGATTCTTCCAACTTTTCCAGACACTTAGTTTTTTCGCACCGATGGCTAAACTAGATTTTAGTACAGAAGAAAACCCACCAAGAAATAATTTCTTCGTGGCCAGGACCACACTGGCAGACATTCTGTCATGTCCCAGCAGTTAGGACAAACCCCCTAGCCTGCACCCTCAGCAGAAACCAAAGGAGCAGGCACAGCGCTACGGTGTGAGGCTCCAAGCTCCTCTCTTGCCTGGACAAGAGGTGCTGGGAGGAGGCCTTCCTGATCTACCAGCCCCAGCTGGAAGGGCCAGGGCTTTACTAGGCACGTCCACAAGCCCCAGGTTCCTCTCTCGCATCACACTAACACTTGCAGTTGCCTCAGCTTTGAGTAACTGCACAAGACACAACAAAGGCCCTGGCAGCAACAGCCCGGCACTGCTAGGGGAGATAGCTGTGCTCTTCCCAGCAACAGGACTTTTAAGTCCCTGCTCCTACCCCGCTTCCCAAGGTACCACAGATTCCCTTTCCCTGAGGTCTGCACTTAGGAACAGTTCCCAAAGCGCAACTAATGGCCCAACCTGCATCACCCAACACCTTTTTTGTAGGCAGAGATTGAAGCAGTGAAGAAAAACAAGAACTGCTGGGTTTACACCTCTGAGGAGCCAGCCCACCCCTTGTAGTGTCGGTCTCAGGTGAGGTGGCAGTAACAGCGTGAGTACTTAACAGCCAGAGAGTTACTGAGCAACTCTGCAAGAGGTTCACGTTGCACATTAAGAACTTCATTACGAGGGAGGTAGTGCAGCACTGGAACAGGCTACCCAGATAGGTTGTATTATCTCCATCCTGGGAGGTTTTCCAGGCTACACAATTCAGGGCTGACCTGATCTAGCGTTGGCAGCAGTCCTGTTCAGAGTGGGAAGTTGGACATCAGACCTCCAAAGGTTCCTTCAAACCAAAATGTCTAAGACTGAGAAACCTTATGTGAGAAAGAGGGGAGATCTACAGCCATTTTCTAAGTCTTATCACAACATTCTTATAGGTGTTATATGAGAATATTGTATTTCATTGAAGCCATGTTCTGTATTGAAAACAAGGATGCTCACCAACTGGTCCCTCTTCCAGGAAAATACAGTTTCATTTTCTGCTACTTAGAAAATGTTTTAATAACGTTAAGAAACCCGACTTTTTGATATCTGTTTTTGGTGAGACATTTCCAGTGAAGATGAGCAAGGCGGCTACTAAGTACTTGACAATGAATCATCGCTTTATTTGCCCTACCCTATTTGAAACAAACACTTGTAAAGCTTTCACAGGAATACACACTCAATAGCCTAAAGACTCTAAAAGCACAATTCCATCTGAAAGTCCAGGGAGACAGTGTTTCAAGATTACACAGACATTTGTCAGCATTTTCAGAAGTGCAATAACATACTGCCAACACAGAAAGGACATAATATTCACAGAAGAGTGACAATACGCTGTGGTGACTATCAAAACACAAGCATACTGTAGACTGGATATCTGAGAACATTGTCTTTTCAGATAACTAAAATCTAAGCTGATAGAAATATTCTGCCTCCCTTGCTGCATTATATCTTTCCTCTTGCTGCATGTGAAGTGAAAGAAAAGAATGAATAAAAGATTACTTACTTGGATACTCCTGCCTGGTCCAAAACAACTTTTCCACCTCTACATGATGGATAAACTTTAACAAAAAATTCATATAACATGCCATCATCCACATCAGGAGTCAGGTCTCCCACAAAAAGTGAATATTCTGGACTAAAGAAATCAAAAGAAAACTTCTTAAGTACAATCATACAAAAAAAAGAGGCGTGCTGAGTGACACCTAACATTTAGCCTAAACATTTGACTTCAGAGAAAAGTGGTATTAAAAGACCATTTAATGGATACTTTAAAGTGTCACCAGTTAAGTTGCTTAGGTGACTACAATTTTTATTGACACTGCTTTTTCAAGTTAATTCAAGCAGCACAACTAATCTACTCAATACCGCTTTTATTTAAAGAGAATTTCATTTTTTAGTTCTCACAGGATATCTCTGGGTTTCCAACACGGCAGGAAAACATTAATATTTCATTTATAGATTTGCTATTTCCAACATATTGATCTTAAATTATAACATATGAATTAAGATACTTTGATGCTAGAAAGTTCAAATATCTTAAAAGACACTCCTGGCAAATCTGCTGTGCCACACAAAAGTTAAAGGATAAAACTGAGAGCCAGTCTAAGTCATCGTCCCTCTGCTAAAGACTCATGGGGCAAGCTGCTGCAATCAGAAAGGCTATGTTATCCATCTGCATTTTCAGAGCAAACGGAGCCATAAGAATTAGTTACCAGATGCGAATCTCATTGTTGGTCCCATCTGTTGCGCCTTGATTCTAATCTAAACAGTTGTTTTCTTAATAAAAAGGTTCATAAAAAATAATTTAAAATAAAAATATAATTGCCGAGATATGACTAACACTACCCTAATAAACCGCAGGACTGTGTTGCTTTCACCCTCGCACACACCTGCCTGAACGCCTCCTTGTGTTATTGTTGCTTCAACTGCGTAAGCGTTTCTGGGCAGGCATTATGAAAGGCGCTCACACCACCCAGCTTCAGGAGCCTAATTTAGCCCGTTTGTCTCCTTACGCACCTTTCACCGTCAATGGAGAATGCTGGGCTCCTCCAGAGGGCAACTCGGAGCACCCTTCGCTCTCTTTGCTGACACTGGTGGTACTCCAGCCAGTTAAGCCAGCTGGTGTGAAACCACCGCATTTATCTTCAGGCGCTAAACACATTCATGGCATTATATAGTATTATGATGGGATGCATCCTCAGATACATAAAAAGTGCTAACATGCTACAGCATCACAAGTATCTACAGTGTGTGCCAAGGCAGTTTAACGTAATCTACATTTTTAATTATGGGATTTAGTTATCTGGCACGGCTAGACAAAATGGCACAAATTTGAGTTGTATGCATCTCATGAATGCTCTCCTATCTGACTTTGCTAGCTGTACGTCTCAACCGGCAATGATGAACTTGTGGGTTTACATATTTTGAATGTTCTTTGCGAGGCAATTGATGAAGAGACATTAAGCAGGCAAAACTTATATTTGAATATTGAACGTTTACCTGTTATCAGGCTGTTTTCCGTACGTTGCATAATTCAATTTAAATCGCTTTGCCTGAAACAAGGCAAAAATTAATCCATACGTTCAAATGTTCTCATGTGAATCCAAACAGTTAGGAAAAAATACAATAGGCTTATTTTATACAACTTTTTAAATGCTGACAGATGCTCAATGCCATCAGGCCAGCCAGTTAAGGTATCAAGGACAACATTTTAATTTTACTTGAGTACAGCTATAATGATGAAAATCAGCAAAGAACCTGCACGAAGAGGTTTGGCCTATCTTTATTTCAACGGTTTATAAAGCTAGTGAAAGAGAGTTAACCTTACATAGCATCAAATTTTTCTATCTTTAAGGAAGACAGGAAAACAGAGCTACTAACAACAAATATTAAATGACTTCTAATTTTAAGGTCTTTAAATGAAATCACAACATAGACTGTTGGACATTTGTGATTTACAAGAATACTGGCAGACCAGAATCTGCCACATCAGAAAATGGAATCAGTCCCTCAGTTTGGAAGTATGGCCAAATGCTTTGCTCTGGATGATGTGCTCATTTAGTAAGATCCAAAATTAAGGTTTTTCTGAAAGCCTTACCTGTCGTTGGACGCTGGAGGCCTCCCTAAACTTTGCACCTGATTTTCTTTTTAAACAAGTTTCCCAGGAGCCTAGATTTGTGCCCACTGGCACATCTGGAATTCCTCGCCCCCATCCCACCAGGGTTCAGCAACTCGAGCCCAACTCACATTTAAGTCTAGACCAAGATCTAAGGAGCAGCTGGTTTTCTGCCTCAAAATCCCGAGGGTCTCAATCCCATGGGCATTCTTATACGATGCTTAGCCCACAATGACCCAAGCAGGCTCAATGCAGAGTGCAATGGTAATTGCTATTTTCTTTTGAAACACGTCTGACAGAGGAAGAAGCAAAGGGTTGCACTCCTTTACAAGAACACTACTGTCAGAACTCACCCAGAGAGTGGAAGACCTAAGCTGGATTCCCTCGTCAGCTTGAGGGGCTTCAAAAGCATTTTTCTATCTCCCAACAGGCTTCCAAAGCAGATACCCCTCTGTACTACACAGTGGCATAGCAAGAATTCAAGGGCAATTTGGTCAAAGAAAGCAAGCCTACTGTGAGTCCATAACCTAAAGATCAGGACGTTTGTTTAGTACAGCGGAGAGCCTAGTGTGCTCCTGCACCTTGTACGATGTATTTTCTTCCCTCAAAGAGAGTGTAAATAATTCTTGGGAAATAGAGCAAAGACTTATCTCTAGGCTATAATCACGTTCCTTGCATGCTTGCATTCACTGGTGCACAGTGGTACACAGCTCTTTCTGCGGACCATTTACAAGCTAACACAAAATTTAGATTCCACTTTGAAGCACTTTCATCTTTTTTTGGACTTCACTCTTCATCGCAAGATTTTGGGTTTAAAATCAATGAGAGACCTGAGAGTACTTCCAGTCAAATGCGAACTGGGGACAGTAATTCTGTAAAACAGAGAGAGCAGCAGCACCATGGCTGTTATTCCTTTGGCTGATTCAGTATTTAAAAATAAATAAAAGAGTGAGCCACATTCAACAAGAGAAAAAGTATCTAAATGCAAGAGACGAGCTGGACAGTTGCCTGCTGAGTGCAGATTTAGGCTGCCTACATTGGATCTCTGTCTGACATCTGTAATTCTCTCCATGTGTTATGTAAATCATCCCTCTACACCACACCACATTTTGAATTAAACTGTGGACAAAGGCGGGTATTCCCGAAACCAAACTTCAATTGTTATGTTACTCCTTGCAAGAGCTGCTTTCTTTTTCTCTCTACTGACTATAGAAGGCATCTAGGAAGATCAGCTTCCCTTCACCGTGGGCTCTGATTTGCAATTTAAGGGCATATTAATCAGGACAGGTGAAGCAGATACCTCCAGGCCTCTCATCCGCCCCTGTTAACAGGGGACACCATCCTCTCAGGAAGGTTGACCAAACAGTTCAAGGAACAACACCTGAACTTCCCCGTTTCCCGCTCAGGGTATTAACTACACTGAAATAGGCATCATTTTACCTTACTATATCACACTGTAACTGAGGTGATTCTAGAGCTGCTTTATGAACCAGTCATCCTAGCTACTGCAGCCAACTTCTGTGGGTGCAACGGACAGCTGTGTCAGCCATCCCATTTTAATCTACTACACATTCGAGTCAACATCCTAAAATTAGCCTCTCAGACTATTCCTCCTCCTCTTCCTAACTACCTAGCTTTTATGTATCCAAGACATTCGTTATGTATTGCAACTATACAATGGACTAGCTCTTTCTCCACTGTAAATAGGTTTGAGTAACTTTTGTTTGCTAAGGGCCAAGAATAATGCAAGGCTTAAAAGTCATGTTTCTCTTGCAAATCAAAGTTACTCAAAACTCAGTGCAAACTTGCAAGTTCATCTTGTACATATATAACAACATACACACTGTAACAAATTAATATGGAACTACAAACGGAGAGAGACAGAAGGACTGTGGTAGGGACGCTCCATCTATTTTTTCCTTGTTCTTCTCTGGTGTCTTATTAGTCCAACTTTGGTAATAGTAGAAAGGCTCAGAAATGCAACATTTCTATACCTGGATTTTATCCAGACATTCACACAGAAATTAGTATTTTTTCCAACAATTTGCTGAGCAAGAACATTAGTAGTTTCATGTTCACTAATTTAACTCTAAAGAAAAGAAGAATCCCAGTTTGCTAACTATGAATTTGTCTGTAATCATTCAAAATACAGATTCTACACTATCTATTCCTTCCCAGTTTTGGTTCTCAACTGGCTGATTTCATTTACTTACCGGTGTAGCACCAGGAAGCGGTTTTCCATTGATTTTGTGTAAACATTTCTCTGCAGTAGCTAGATCTGCAAATTCTACAAAGCAATAGCCTGCTGGAATTCTGAACATACGACACGGGAGAGGAGAGAGAAAGATTTCAGATTTAAAACACATTTGAGGAGGAATACTATATTTTTAGATAACTGGTGGGAAATTTGCTATAGTTGTAATACTTGGAACAATTTCTTGTTCAAAGTATAAACATTAGCTACCAAAAAGAAGCCAGCAAAGTAATCTCAGATCTCAAGTAAAGTGACAGCCCCTACTTACCAGTAAGTCATGTCAACATAAGCACATAGAAAATAGTTTTGCTCACAATTAGTTTACTTCCTACTTTCATTGACTACATAAATTTTCCCACCCAAGTTTAAACGATTGAAAACCGAAATCACAACATTTACAAGAACATGAAACTACTTTTTATTCTGCATAGTCACTCTTTTTATTCCAAATGAACTCGAAGGGTCCTCATATGGCTCCTTCTCAAGTCAGACTTCCCACCTCTGCCAGCATCACGAAGCTGCACTAGTGTAATGATTAACACAGACCGGCCACTGAAGCCTTCAGTCCCAGACGTGCAATTCCCAGAGGGACTGTATGGCATACATATGCTGCTCGGAACGAGTGCTGCAGCACTGCAGGATGAGGGCCAAACCTTGGTTTGTTGAGAGCCAGCAATTGTCCTCTCCATTGCCATCATCAATATACCCACATCTTTGGGAGCAATGGTGAAAAGCTCAAAGGGAAAATCACTGTAATACGGACAGGACCACAGTGATGGGCAGAGGGCAAACGGTTCAGTCCAAATGCACTGGTAGAACAAACGGAGAACAAGCATAAACAGTTACCCTGTCAACCTGTTTCGAATGATTTTTACACTCAGTACGAGCTCTCCCATGGTGGCAAAGGCTCTTGAGACAAAGTTTTCATCCATATATGGCTCCAGCTATAAAAGCAAAAAAAAAAAGTTAGACCAGGGCATCTACAAAAAGGAGAATATATGTGTCAATGTCACCCTAAGCAGTTAAAACATTATTGAGAAGTATTTTACCCTTACACTTCAAAAAGAAGACTCATTTAAGAGGGTCGATGCCACTCAAAACCAGCAGGCATGCATGAACCAGGCTCAACAGTCTGCAAAGTGGAACCCAAGAGACAGCATGAATTTCAGAGAACAGGGAGCTTTCACAGAAGGACAAAAGCCACTCAGAAACATACAGCAACAAACTGAGCGTTCACTACACGGTGCAGGGGGTAAGGAGAAGGCAGGCTCCTTCTCTGTACACAAACAGAGGTTGGGCCAGCGCTATCGGTACACAGGCACGGCACAGCCCGGGGTGCTATGACGAACGGGCGGCATGCGTCAGGTAACACAGGCCCCATCGAGCTGGGGTAGGGATTTGCAGAGCTGTGTCTACCTCGCATAACTGTGGAGATAGGCAGGGCAGCACTTGGAGGGGAAACCTCTAACCGCGTCCCACAGTAGGTCTGAGCTTTGTATTGCACGTGGGTGTGCTGCCCGTGTTTATGTCATGGTGAGAGGGTGGCCCTGTGCACGTCAGAGTGTGTGTGAAGCGCAGGGCAGTGGTACTGTGTAAGTGAACACGCTGGAGGGCAGGGGTCTGTATGGTGTCAGTGACTGAAAAGCATGAAATGGCACTGCAATTTGGACCAAATATATGATGAAGGTACTGAGGGAAAAGGATGCCTCTCTGTGTAATAGAAAGTGGAGGAGGAAGCTAACTGAAAATCAGGTTTTGTGCAATACACATACTGATGGGGAGCGCTGCGTGTGACAGCTAACACGAGGCTGGGGTGTGGGGGAAACATACATAGCTCCATATATATAAGTATATATACACCTGTGTGAGTAAGACAGATGGCCTTGTGGTAACTGACAGCCCTCGAGCGTGTCCGTGTGTCTGTCAGGTACCAGGTGGCTCCGTCACTTGTGTGCATGACAGAAGGTGCAGATTCGTGCAGTATCTGATAGTGGGTAACCATATTGCACTCGCACGTGCAAAACATGGCAGATGCCCTGCGGAGGCGTGAGTGTAAAGCAGAAATGACTCTCTTACATGTGCCAATAGCAGGAGGCAGCACTACTCTGTACAGACATGCCATGCAGAGGGTGATCCTGTGGGGTGTGTGTGTACAGGAAAGCCAGACTCATAAAGGCAACAGGTGACTGTTGCTTGGATATGTACGTGTGTGTTTCAAAGAGCAGCGGCCTGCTTGTGAGAGAGGTGACTGAAAAAGAAGATGGCCTTATGGTGGAGAGGTGGCCAATAGCACTTTGTGCGGGTAAAGAGAAAAGGGACTCTATAATGTGTTTGCATGAGTGGCAGGCAGCGGAAGACTCACTGATGTGTCAGTGTATGCGTGCAATGCAATGGCAAATTTGGTGGAAGCGTGTGTCTAAGAGAGAAGCAGCCGGTGGGATCCTCAGTGATGCACTGGGTTGTGCGTACACACACCTGAGAGAGGCTGAGGAAGACTACAGGGTGCACGTGTGTGTGCAAGCAGGACTACGCAATATGCTGGTGTGAGTCTGTAAGAAAGAGGCTGGAGAAAGCTGTGCGTGCAAGTAACAGGCAACATGGAAATTGTGATACACTGGTGTAACTGCATGTGCATGTCTGTACGTATACGCAGGTGTATACAAGCATGTGGCAGGCAGCAAGGACACTATGATACAGCGATGCGATTGCATATGTGACTGTAAACGTGGCAGACTGCAGACACTACAATACAACATCAGCACATACATACAGGCGTGTACGTGGGTGGCAAAGCACTACAATACGCTGGGTGTGAGCACGCATATGTGAGCGTGTATGAAAGTGTGAGTGTATAGTGGCAAGCAGTGAGGGACACAGGTGTGTGAGTATGAGGGTGTATGCAGTGTGTGTGAAGGGCAGGCAACAAGGGACGCTGTGAGGTGCGTATCACTGTGTGAGCGTGCTCACGGTGTGCACGTGAGCAGGCAGCGAGAGACACCCTAGGGTGAAGGAGCACCTGTGAGTGTGAGTGTGCTGCCAGGTGCACATGCAGGCAGGAATGAGGGAAATACTGGGGTGTGTAAGTGTTTATGAGTGTGTGTGCATGTAGGAGAATGCAAATCCCACAGGTGTGCACGTGTGTGGGGCAGGCAGTGAGGGATGCTCTTGGACAGGCGCACAAAAGCACGCGAATGCAAGTAAGTGTAACTGCCTACAAGTGTGAGCACAAGCGTGTGAGCCTAGCAGCACAAGTGCAAACGTGTGAGTGTGTAAGTGCCTTAGAGCATATGGCCATGAGCATGTAAGTGCCTACAAGCACATGAGCGTAGAAGCCAGCATATAAACCCTAGAAGCATGTGAGCGTACAGGCTAGTAAGTATATGAGTGAGCGTGTAAGTGCCTAACACAGCACAAGCACGAAAGTGTGAGAACGTGTCAGTGCCCAGGAGCGTGCCTGCCCACCAGCGTGAGCGCAGGCAGCACGGGACACTGGTGTAAGTGCCATGAGTGTGTCTGTGACCCTGGCTGCAGGCAGGCAACGAGGGTCACTCGGGGGGGGTGAGTGAGGAACTGCCCATGAACGTGCTTGCTGGGCCAGGGTTAGTGTCTGAGTGTGGGTTTGTGTGTCAGCATGTGTAAGTGTGCGTGTCAGCGTGTCCGAGTGTGCGTGTCAGCATGTCCGAGTGTGCGTGTCAGCCTGCGTGAGCCTGCCAGCGTGCACAGGAGTGGGTGCGCGTGAGAGCGTCAGTCAGCTCGGGAGTTCATCTGTGTGTCAGAGTGCGTGAGGGTCCGTGAGGCTGTGTCAGTGCGTGAGGGTGTCAGTGCGAGGGTGTCAGTCACTCAGTCGGTGCGAGGGTGTCAGTCGGTCAGTCAGTGTGAGGGTGTCAGTCAGTGTGAGGGTGTCAGTCGGTCAGTCAGTGTGCGGGTGTCAGTCAGCGTGCGGGTGTCAGTCAGCGTGCGGGTGTCAGCCAGTCAGTCAGTCAGTCAGTCAGTGCGC